CCCGTTCAGCATTCGTATAAACCTGATTTAGTGTGATGAACTCCTTAGCTTTTCCTTATCTGTGAAGCTCTTTATCTGACCTTCAATTTTGAATGATAGCTTTGCTGGATAAAGTAATCTTGGTTGTAGGTTCTTGGTATTCATCACTTTGAATCTTTCTTGCCACTCCCTTCTGGCCTGCAAAGTTTCTGTTGAGAAATCAGCTGACAGTCGTATGGGTATTCCCTTGTAGGTAATTGAGTCTCTTTCTCTTGCTGCTTTTAAGATTCTCTCTTTGTCTTTTTCTCTTGGCATTTTAATTATGATGTGTCTTGGTGTGGTCCTCTTTGGATTCCTTTTGTTTGGGGTTCTCTGCGCTTCTTGGACCTGTAAGTCCATTTCTTTCACCAGGTGGGGGAAGTTTTCTGCCATTATTTCTTCCAATAGGTTTTCAATATCTTGCTGTCTCTCATCATCTGGCACCCCTATAATTCGGATGTTTGTACGCTTGAAGCTGTCCCAGAGGCTCCTTACACTATCTTCGTATTTTCGGATTCTTTTTTCATTTTGCTTTTCCGGTTGGGTGTTTTTTGCTTCTTTGCATTTCAAATCTTTGACTTGATTCTTGCGCTCCTCTGGTCTGCTATTGGGTGTCTTTATAATATTCTTTTTTTTTTATATATATATATATTTTATTGATTTTTTACAGAGAGGAAGGGAGAGAGAAAGAGATTTAGAAACATTGATGAGAGAGAAACATCGATCAGCTGCCTCCTGCACATCTCCCACTGGGGATGTGCCCGCAACCCAGGTACATGCCCTTGACCGGAATCGAACCTGGGACCTTTCAGTCCACAGGCCGACGCTCTATCCACTGAGCCAAACCGGTTTCGGCAGGTGTCTTTATAATATTCTTTATTTCAGTCAGTGTATGCTTAATTTCTAATTGGTCCTTGTTCATATCCTCGAGGGTCTTACTACCTTTCTTGAAGGTCTCACTAAATTTATCGGTGGTGTCTAAAAAATTCTTGAAAAACCTTATAAGTTTGGTTTTGAACTCTATATCCAGTAGTTTGCTTTCCTCCATTTCTGTTATTTGTGACCTGTTTCTTTGTCTCCGCATTTTTTATGCTTCCCTGTGTTGATAGAGTGGTTTTCTCTGCTAGGTGTCCTATAGGGCCCAGTGGCTCAGCCTCCCCAATTACCTGAGGTGGACACGCTTGGTGCACCCCTTTGTGGGCTTTGTGCACAGTCTTGTTGTAGTTAAGCCTTGATTATTGTAGGTATCACTGGGAGGAATTGACCTCCAGGCCAATTGGCTGTGAGAATCAGCTGTGTCTACAGTGGGAGAACTTCTATGCTGGAGACACCCTTCTGGGGCAAGACTTGCTTCAGTGGGGCTTTGGTGCTCACTGAGTTTGCCCCCTGCGTGTGTCGCTTATGGATCTGAGGAGTTGTAATCTGGACAGTCTCACTCTGACCACTGGGTACACTGGCACTTGGATCTCTAAGGAGGTGCTAATTTAGCCTCTGCCTGAGGCTACCCAGCAGGAGCTATGGAGAGATCTGCAGATTCCTCTTCTTTCTTTGGGGTTTGGAGGTGCCCAGATGAGGCCCAGCTGTGAAGCAATGCAAGCTACTGTGGGGCCTTGGGCCTTCTTTTGGATGTTCTGGGTCTCTCTGACCCAGCTGCAGTTTGTTAGGTAATTTTCAGATTTCAAAGGGCCAGGTCATTCATATGCAAAAGCCTCTGCTAGCAGCTTGGGTGGGGCGGGGTCTCAGGGAATCAACAGGGTGGAGCAAAGAGCTATGGCAGATCCTCAGCCCTACCCTAAGAGGTCCTGCGTCTCAGTAATCACTGCAAGCACCTCTGAGAGAAAGCCGCCTTGAGTTCCGACCGATGCCAGACAGTCCAGTTTCTCCCGGTATGAGTCTGGGTCCCCAGAGACTCGCCCGGAACTGGAGTTCAGAGCAGTCAGGAGCTTGAGACTCCCTCCCGATTGAAAAAGACAACCGTGTCCTCAGTTGCCAGCCCTTTCCATGTGCGCTTCCGTACCTCTGCACTTTACTTCCACACCTCCTCTGAGTCTCAGTGTGTTTTTCTCTTTCCTTCTAGTTGTAGAATTTCCACTCAGCCAGCCTTCCTGTGGTTCTGGATGATGTCCGTTTTGTCTTTTAGTTGTATTTTTGAAGTGGTTGTGCGGCAGCAATTTCAGGTGTTTATCTATGCTGCCATCTTGGTTTCTCCTTACCCACATTTTTTTAAATCCTCACCCAAGGATATGCTTTTTTTAAAACAATATTTTTAAAATTGATTTCAGAGATGAAGAGAGAGGGAGAGAGAGATAGAAACATCAATGAAAGAATCATTGATTGGGTGCCTCCTGCGGCCTGCTGGGGAGTGAGCCTGCAACCCAGGCATATACCCTTGACTGAAATGAATCCTGGACCCTTCAGTCCGCAGGCCGACGCTTTATCCACTGAGCCAAACTGGCTAGGGCCAAGGATATGTTTTTTAATTGATTTTAGAGAGCGAGGAAGGGAGAGGGAGGGAGAAACATTGATCTGAGAGAGAAACATCAATTGGGTACCTTCCCTGTCCAGTATATGTAAATTCTCTAACTGCAGTTTCTGTTTGTTTGGTTTTTTTTTGCTTCTTTTTTTTTTTTTTTTCCTCCCCCATATCGGCTCCCCAGGTTGCTGGAGAGATTTTTTTTTTTTATTAAATTTTTATTGTTCAGATTACATTTGTTCCTCTTCCCCACCCCCCCATAATTCCCCTCCTTCCAGTTCCCGCCCCACCCTCCGCCCTCACTCCCCACCCACTGTCCTCATCCATAGGTGCACGATTTTTGT